CACACACACACACACACACACACACACACACACACACACACACAGAGCTTGAGTTGAGTTTAAGCCACCGTCTGGGACTCGAACCATGGTCCAACTACATGGGAGTCCAGTGACATAGCCATTATGCTAACTGCTGGTCCCAACTTGCTTTCTTTAAGAATTATTTTATTTAACTTTATTTAAATGTCACCAGAGAGGGACAGAGCGAGAGAGAGAGAGAAAGCAAGCCACCAGGTCTGGAGCTCGAACCATAGTTGGCCATGTGGGAGTCCAGCGCCCATAGCCACCATGCCACCTGTTGGCCCCTGGCGGCTTGCTTAGTCACTCACTGTGTCTCTCATGAGTGCACATGTCTTACAGCTAATTTAAAATAAATAAAATTAAATCCTTTTAAAAAGGAGTACTGGTTGGGGGCCGGCACGTGGTGTGGTGGTTATCAGTGCTAGACGTCCACATGACCGATTGTGGTTCCAGTCCTGGACCTGGCAGCTTGCTTTCTCACTCTCTCTCTCTCTCTCTCTCTCTGGTCAAATTAAAATGAATGAATAAATCATTTTTTTAAAAAAGAGTACTAATGCATGGTCATGACACAATCCTTCATCACTTGGAATTTTGAGCACAAACACACATGCACCTGCCCTGTTGTTCAAGCCTCTGGGTACAAGAGTCAAAACCAGTCAGCCATGTGGGATCCAGGATCCAGGTGTTTCAACCAGGCCACCAGCTGGCCCCTTACTCACTTTTAACCATCGAAACAAAGGCAAGTAAAGCTGGGAACTGAGTGAGTGTGCACAGCCTGGCTAGAGCCTGTACTTTTTTTTTTTTTTAAGTATTTAACTTTATTTATTCACTCATTTATTTTAATTTGATCAGAGAAACACACACACACACACACACACAGTGAGAAAGAAAGCCATCAGGTCCAGGACTCTGTGGTTGGCTACATGGGAGTGTCCAGCACCTCAACCACCATGCCACCTGCTGGCCCCAAGCCTGTGCTCTTTGATCTGTTGGGTGCCAGATGCCCTTGCCACTGGGGTACAGGAGGAGACACCCCCATGAGGCTGGTATTCCAGCTCCAAGGGATTCTGACAATCAGCTGAGCAGAGGTAGCCTGCACAAGGCCTGGCTCAGTTAACTGCCAGCTTCTCACTGTTTATTGAATAGCTACTGTGTGCCCGGGCCTGGGCAGAGCCTGCGACTCCCGTAGTGTGGCCTCAGCCTCAGGACATCACTGCAGCCTCCCCAAGGTCAGGACTGTGGCCAGTCCTCCCATCAGCCTTCAGCTGCATTCCCAGCTACCCCCAGCTGTACATTCTCCACTGAAGCAAAGTTCCCAGCCTGCCTGGGCTCCCAGCGGCGCCGGAATTCCAGGCATTCAAGGCAGGGAGGGAAAATGGGCTGTCTACTTAGGCTGTCTACTCAGAAGCCTGGAGCAGCAAAGGAGGCTATCCCTCTCCAGATGTGTCCCAGCTGTGCCTCCAGGCAGGAGCTAGGAGCTTAGTCCCTGGATTTTTGAGGGTGGGAAACCAGGGGCGCCAGGCCTGACTCAGCCCCCTCTTCCTGGGGTCTTGGAATCCCATTCCCCCCTCCTGCCCTGATCCTACCGATTCTCAGCCCAACTCCAGGAATACTCTCTCGCTGGCCTATGGTGTCTGCGTTACTAGCTAGTCTTCCTTATAACCACAGCTAAATCTAGATCAAAGAGGTCTTAAAATATTAAGTGCCTACTGCCTGCCTTGGGACACATAGATTAATGCCAGCTAAACCGAGTTACCTTGAAGTCAACTCTAGCTTTGATGCAGAACTCTATGAGCGGAACATTACTTTGTCAATATGGCTGTTTCCTTCTACCTCTAACAAGCATGGTTACATGCATCACCAACCTGGCAGGGATGTCATGAGGATTCCATGCAGTGATGCTTAACCAGGTGCCTAGTTGTTCAATGAACCCCACAGCCCTTTATTCCCGAGTCGGTGCTGTCCATACACTTTCCCCAAGCTCATTGATGGAGCTCTTCTGTCACCTGTGCAGCCCGGCTTGGTAGCCATGCATGGCTCCAGAGCACTCACAGGAGTAGCTACTACAAAGGGTAGGGCACAGTTAAGTCTCAAGTTGTGATAATCCCACTTACTGACAATCAAGTACAAAACTCCCCAGCTGGCTGTGAAGGCTGGTTCTGGAAGCAGTGTTTACCACCCCCACCTCTGCCCCAACAATGAAGCTCATTTCCTATCACAGGCCATTCAACTTCTAGCCTAATTCCTCCTCTTCCACCAGCAGCCATTTTTCCATTGTGTCCATTACTTGGGAGAAGTGGGCTGTGGTCACCGTTAATATCCAGATCAGCAAAAAGCCTGGCAGAGCAAATGAGCAAACGAAATCCGGTACCTAGGCATCAGAAAACGAAGCTCTAACAGCACATGGTTTCCCAGCTCAGTTCCTACTTCATCAGCTCCTGGCTCAGGCATTGCCTCCCCCAGGGAGCCCACCTGCCTCCTCCAGGCTGGGTCAGGTACCTTTCCTGGGTCCTACCACCCCACGTTTGTCTGACAAGTGGACTTCTCTGAGCTCTCTCCTGCAACTCCCAAGTGAGTACTGCAAGGCAGAGATGGGGTCTCTTGAACACATGTGGAGCCACCTAACAGTACTGAGGGCCTAGCTGCCTCCACAGTCCAACTATCCATGTTTTTAAAATAAGATTTTTGCTATAGGGCACACGTGCTCACCAGGGAAAGTGAGAAATCAGCCCCCAGGGATGGGAGTCCAGTGACAACCATTATGCTGTCTGCTGGTCCCCAACTATTTACCTGAATTCCATTCTCCTTTCACTATCCTGGGGCTTGGGGTTAGGGTGGATGAGGAAGTCCTTTCTTTACAAAAGGGGGAGAAGTGAAAGGTAACTAAATCAACCAACACTTGTTATTCCCTATACATTCCAGTGGTGTTCCATGTCCCACAGGACTTCAATGTCTCCTGGTCCTGGATGGAAACCTGAGGTGGCAGCTCTTACTACACTGCAGATGTGCAAGTCCTTAGAATGAGAAAACTGTCATGCTGGGTAAAGTGATAGGCTTCAAAGAACCCAGGAGGGGGACCAACAGATGGTGTAATGGTTACATCACTGGACTCCCATGAATTTGTCCCGGACCCGGCAGCTTAAAACTCATGCCGGGCACGTATGCATGCGTGCCCAAGATCCCGAGGGGAGAATGGAGAAGGGATTGCGGCGTGACCATACCCCCTGGGAGGTGATCTCTCGCTTTCTGTCTTGTGAGCGCACCCACCCTAGAGCGAAAACCTTTCCAAAAAAAAAAAATCTCACACCAAGCACGCTAACCCAAGAATGGAAAAGTGACTCACGTGTGGCCAACACCCCTGCCCCCTGGGAGTGATTTCTTGCTTTGTCTTTCTGGGTAGCACAAACACACCCTATGGTAAAAATCTTTTTCAAAAAAAGGAAAGCCAGGAGGGGCCAACCAGGCAACATAGTGGTTAAGGTGACTAAATCTCATGTAGGCAACTGTGTGGTTTGATCCTGGACCCAGTGGCTTAAAAAACACACTGGGCATGGGACCAGCAGTTAGCATAATGGCTATGTTGTTGGACTCCCATGTAGTTGACCACAGTTTGCGTCCCAGACCCGGTGGCTTAAACTTACACCAGGTGTGTGCGTGCGTGCCCAAGAATGGAGAAGGGATTGTGGCGTGGCCATCCCCCCTGGGGGATGATTTCTTGCTTTCTCTCTAGCAAAGAGTTTTTGGTGTCTCCCTGTAAAAAAACACCAAAAAAAAAAAAAAAAAAAAAAAACCAAAAAACAAAAAACACACTGGGCATAATGTGTGCATCCCCCCAAATCCCAGGATAATAGATCGCAATGTGGACAGATTAAGCCAGTTTTGGAAAGTGAGAATAGTGTCAAGACAACTGCCATGTACCAAGACTCAGAGCTGAGCAACAGCAAAGGAGGTTGGTATGGCTTGGATAAACTGCCAGAACTACCGACTACAGAGGATGGGATTTCCCTTTACCCCAGGTCTCGGTAACAACCACACTAACTCCTTTGCCAATCCTGGCACAGACCCCAATTGCTGACTTCACACACTCCACCCAGGCAATAATCTACAGTTCTCTGGCTTGATGGTTAAGGCACTGCACTCCCAAATGGCAACCATGGTTTGAGTCCCAAACCTGATGGCTTAGAACTCCCACACTGGGGTGGGGGGGTTGGGGGTATGCAGCAGGTGGTATAGTGGTTAATGAGGGTGCTCCACTCTCACATGGCCAACTGCAGTTCAAGTCCTGAACCTGACAGTTTGCTTTCTCACTCCGCCCCCCCTTTCTGTCCTTATGTGGTCAAATTTAAAATAAATAACTCTTGGGACCAGCAGATAGAGTAATGGCTATGTCACTGGACTCTCATGTAGTCAACCGCGGTTTGAGTCCCTGACCCAGTGGCTTTAACTCACGCTGGGCACATGTGTGTGCATGCCCAAGATCCCAAGAGGAGAATGGAGAAGGGATTGTGGCATGGCCATCCCCTCTGGGGAGTAATTCCTCGCTTTCTGTCTCTGTCCAGCACACGCACCCTATAGCAAAAACCTCTCCAAATCAAGTTAAATAAAATAACTCTTAATAAAATGGATGAAAAATTTTGTCTCTCTCCAATGAACACATGTACTCTATAGCAAAAATCTCTTAAAAAAATATATATAATATTATTGATAATTCACAGTTCCTTTGCCCTTCTCTGATGTTATCAGCAGCAAAGACTGGGTGGAGAGGGAAAGAGCCGAAAAGAGAGCCTAAACATCCACCAAGTTCAGAATTGCCACCACTTTGGCTTTCTTATACCCTGGACTCTACTCTCAGTAGAGAAGAGACCAGGTCTGCTCCCACTTCAGAGGAAGAGTTGAACTGCAACCTGGCAATAGGCTGGGGTATTTCAAGTATTATCCAGTCAAAACACCAACTACCACAGAAGACCACAGTACAGTCCTTCAAATCTTAAACCCCCACAACCATTGTTTATTATAAAGATGAACTCCAATCCTTGCAATGGGCTTATCGATAGGATTTCTGGTAGCGAGCACGGGCACCAGGGCCTCCAAACTTTTTGGATTCGCAGCGACGGGGGTCAGCTACCAGCAGGGTCCGGTCATACTGGATGAGGATGTCCTTGATCTCCTTCTTGGAAGCCTCATCCACATCTGGAGATAAGAGCAGTGAGATGTGAAAGTAATCACAGAAGAACTCGCCACTTGGTCCCCACTCTCCCATCCACTTCATGGGAAGGACCCACCCTACTCACATTTCTGGTAATAGGCCACCAGGGCTTTGGAGATGGACTGGCGGATAGCTGTGAGGAAGATACAATAAAGAGTACATGAGCTTCGTGGAGGACTAAGACTGGGGCCTCGCTCCCAGAGCCACCTCCCACCCACATGCCCAGTTCCTGGGACTCACCATAAATCTGGGCCACGTGGCCACCACCCTTTACACGGACACGGATGTCCACACCAGCAAACCGCTCCTTGCCCAGAAGCAGAACAGGTTCCAGTAGCTAGAAGAACAGGGAGAATGATGAAGGTTATATCACAACTTGGGCTGCTTAGCCACCCCCCTCGCCATTGTTCCCTTTCTGTGCTTTCTGCTACTACAAAACTGGAGAAGGGAAGATCCAAGACCAGATGGAAGACTGCTGAACAGGCAAAAGACTAAACAGGTAAGAGCAACCAGATCTGGGCTCCCTATTTGGATCCCTCTCTGGACTCCAGCTTCCCATCTCTAAGACTAGGTCTCAGAACGCTGAACAGTAAAGAGCATTCTAATGCAACTACCAAGCTTGTGTCCAACAGTGAAGTGCCATCCCTCAGCTGGTCAGGTGCCTTTCTGGGGTCCCCACCCAAGCTCTGCTCTCCTTTTCAGCCTCACACTGACTGCCAGAGGAATTACAGTAACACCACAACCTGTGCCCTGTTCATCTCTCCCCAGTTCTAGGTCTTCTACAAGTTCCTGCCTGGACCTACTACTACCTACTACTTTCAGCCTTAGCTCACGGGTATCCTCCTACCCCTCTCTCAGGCCTTTTCTGGGCTTCTCTGATATTAGGCCCAGTCCATCTCCTCCACTAGGCCAGATGCACCATGAGAGAATGGCCTGCAACCACTTGGGTCCCTGCTGTGTCCCCCAAAGTCAACACGGGGTGCACATACAAATTGTTATAATAAAAAGACCCCAACAGCCAATAGCATAAGCAAAATATTCAGTATCTGCCATACTTGCCTGGTCTACATAGGGAGATCCTGTCTAAAAGCAAAAAGTCCTGCTACATGTAACATTTAAAAGGAATATTCTTCCCTTTTAAATGTAATGGACTTTAAGAACATCTCCATATGAGCCAACAGACTTTGTTTTTTGGAGAGGTTTTTGCTATAGGGCTCCTGAGCTTGCCAGAGACAGAAAGCAAGAAATCACCCTCCAGGGGAGATGGCCACGCCCACACAGGCACCTGGCTTGAGTTTAAGCCAACCGGCCAAGGGCCTCAAATCGCGCTTGACTACATGGGAGTCCAGCGACATAGCCATTAGGCTAACTGCTGGTCCCACCAATACACTTTTATGTAAAGATCTGACCTATCCTCATAACTCTTAAGAATAGAAATTATGCTTATTTTACAAATGATAAACCCAAGGCAGAGAAACTCAAGTGACTTGCCTTGAGTAATAGCTGGAAGAGGAGGCAGAAATCAGACTCTGGTCTCCTTCCATTGCAAGCCAAAGGAACTGAGACCAAAACAGGTACAGGAGTCCCTCTCACAGTCAAGAATTTAAACAGGACCAAATTCTGTTCCTATTCTTTTACTACTTACTAAACACATGCAATATCTACACCTTATTTTTCTTTACTATTTTCAGAGTGTGTGTGTCCACTAAAGACACACAGAGAGAAAGCACTGCCCAATGAATAGGGCGTTGGACCTTAGACACTTGAAACTTTAAGAATCAAAATAATGATTTCCGTTCTCAGAGAACCATTAATTCAAGAATGAAAGGTCAGTCATGCCACATAAGCTTTGGTATTTCCCTTACCACCAGTTAGGCGGGCTTCTAAATATCTTTCAAAGCACCTGGTTAATGGCCCACATTCACGTTTTCGCTTCAGTCTTAGCTCACAGGTATCCTCCTACCCCTCTCTCAGGCCTTTTCTGAGCTTCTCTGATATTAGGGCCAGTTCATCTCCTCCACTAGGCCAAATGCACCATGAAGGGATGGCCTGCAACCATTTGGGTCCCTGCTGTGTCCCCAAGACTCAACACGGGGTGCATATATAAAAAACCCCAACAGCCTCTCCTATCAGCTTTAGATCTTCTGAATCCCAAGTCTAGACCTACTGCCAAACATTCCACTGTCCAGCCAATTCAGCTCCCAGACCTCTAATTGGTAATACAATGTCAGCTCGTCCAACTTCCAAAACCTACATCTCCATCTCCCAGGACCCTGCACTCAAGGTCTGTCCCCGATCCCAGTACCTTATATTGCAACGTGCGCGGTTCAATCATTTCCAGCGGCCGCCCGTTCACCTTGATAAGGCCGTTGCCCCGTTTGCAGTGCGCCACGGCTGTGGCCGTCTTCTGTGAGAAGTGAGAGAGACGGCGGAGCCGAGTGAGTTTGGGGCCCTGGCTCCCTTGCCGACCCTAGATTCCTGTCCATTCGCCTCCCCCGACCCCTCTCACCCGGCATGTGGCCCACCTTGCGTCCGAAGACCTGCACAGACTGCAGAGGGCCCTTAGACGGCATGGCTGCGGGCGTAGAAGAGAACCTCACCGCGCGGCCTTGTAACCGGAAAAGGGAAGCTCGGGGCCACCCCCGCTGCTTTTCAGGGTCTGCGCAGGCGCTTTGAACGCTCCGTCGCGACAGGAAGGAACTTTACGGCTCGCGTGGTAGTTAGGGGCGGGGCCTCTGATTAGCGGTGAAAAGGCCTCTGGGAGCGGGGGGCGGGGCCTGGGGAGCGTCATGCGCAGACGCAGAGATGCCTTGAGGCGAGTGTGTGCTGCTTCTCCTCGGTGGTCCATGGCTACCTTGGTCTCGCTTGTATCCGGGCTCTGTACTGATCTCCTGGCCTCCCTGTATGATGGGTTCTCACTGTTGAGCCACTCGTAATCTCTCTCGCGTCTGTATTCGCGCCTCCGAGAATCCCCCTCTATCAGAATCTTTGCACCGGAATCCACTGCAAGAAATCAGGCTGGATTCCCAGAACCCTGTCCCCTCCTCCCAGAACCTACCTCCTTCAAGGTTCCTCTTCCAGAACCCCTTTACCCTCCGCCCTCTCCCGATCTTCCTTTCATCGGACTTTCCTTCTCAGAACCTACTCTTCCCGGAATCCCTGTCTCCCGGAATCCTTTCACGGATCTACCCCTGTCTTCAGAGCTCTCACCCTAGAATGACTTTTCTCTGAATTTCCCTTCCAACTTCCGTCCCCTCATCCGCCCTTTAGGCTCCCCTTGTCCACAGAAACCGACTCCCTAGAATCCCCTTCTTCAGGGTCCCTACCCTCGAATTTGTCTCCAGAATCCCTCAAGTCAACTTGTTTTCTCTTCCCCCGAGTTACCTTCCACTCTAGGCCCGCTCCCCATGGAATTCTCCAGGCCCAGCCCCATCTGAGGATCTGGTGGCCCCTGGGTCCCCCACAGACACTGCCCTGCCCCCTCATTCTTCCCAGCCTAGAAGCTCCTCTCTCAGGACTTAGAGGAACCCCACAGCTGCCTCCTGGAGTCTGGGGTCCAAGGTTCAAAGGAATGTGGTGACTCACCTTGCCAGGGAGGGTGGAGACCAGTGAAAACAAGGGCGGATCTGGGGCCAGAGGGGGGGGATCTGGGGCCAGAGGGAGGATCCTCGGGGCCCAGAGTTCAGCTCCTACAGGGTGAGAGAGGGAGAGGGGCTAGGGAGAAGGGAGGAAGGGAGCACCAGAGGCAGACCTGGAGGGACACACGGACAGAGACACCATACCAGAGAGGCAGGCACACTGGGAAGGAAAGACCAATGAAGGGGCCCAGGGAGAAGAGGAAGAGAAAAAGAGAGCCTGGATCAGTCAGAGATGAACCCAGAATACACTGGATCAGTGGCAGATTCAGAGGCAGAGAGGTCAGCCCTTGGAGGAAAAAAGACAGATATGGTTAGGAAGACATGGGCAGAAGATTGCCAAGTTCTTGAGACAGAGAGAGAGATGGAAATGACAGCAGGGATCCCCAAAGATGCACTTGCAGACACGGATAAGAATGGGCACTTTCCAGTGAGGAGCAGACAGACAGACTGGAGGGCAGACCACAGAATGCACACTTTACTACCTGCCGGGTCAGGGGAGTTCGGACTCCGCAAGTTTCTGGGCTGGTCTTCACATCCTTGCTATGTCTTGAATCTTCCTTGAATTTGGGGGTCAGAGAGTTCTCTGATGAAGGCCCTCCCTAATCTGGGGTCACCATCTTCCATGGCCTCTTGGGTGCATTCCCTGAACGTCTATGCCTTGAGAATAGCTAGCAGAGGAGGGGGCGGGGCGGTTTACTTCACTCCAGTCTTACAACTTGCTACCTCTCTTCCAGAACCCTGCCAGGGACCAGAGAAAACCTGGAAGTGGGCAAGGTGCCCATGCGGGTTCACTGGACAATCCTTCTACTCATGCGGCCCTTGGGGGGCCTAGGAACCCCTCTCTGCCCAAGGGAGCCTTTTTACTTCCTCCTCGCTGTCACGAAGATGTTGGTGAGGGGGGAGTGGATCCATCAGAGAGGGACAGACTAGTTGAGGGGGTGGGGGGGTAGGTGTTTGAGGACGGGTCAGGCTCTCCTCCTCCAAGACCTCATTCTCCTTGTTACCCCAAAATTGCAGGGAAACAAAAATGATGGCACTCTCTACACCCCTGATGACCTCTCGGTGAGTATTTCTTTCTTTCTTTTTTTAAATTATTATTTAGGGGGCTGGCAGGTGGCATGCTAGTTAAGGTGCTGGACTCCCACATGACCAATAGAGGTTCTAGTCCCGGGCCTGGCAACTTGCTTTCTCACTTTCTTTCTCTCTGGTCAAACTAAAAAATAATAATAAAGGGAACCAGCAGTTAGCGTAATGGCTGTGTCGCTGGACTCCAGCGTAGTCGACCACGGTTCGCGTCCCGGACCCAGTGTCTTAGAACTCATACTGGGCGTGTGTGCGTGCGTGCCCAAGATCCCAAGAGGAGAATGGAGGAGAAGGGATTGTGGCGTGACCATCCCCCCTGGGGGGTGATTTCTCGCATATAATTTAAAAATTATTTAACTTTATTTATTGTTATTATTACCATGTTTTAAAATTTTGCCATAGGACACATGTGCTCACCAGAGAGAGAGAGAGAGGAGAAAAGTGAGAAAGCAAACCGTCAGGTCTGGGTTATGAGTGGCAGTCAGTCATGTGGGAATCCACTGCCCCAACTGCCGTGCCACCTGTTAGCCCTCTTGGTATTTCATGAACTTTTTTGTGAAGTTAGAAGTTTAGGGAGACTCCATTGGACTTAGTGTGCACATGAAGGTCTGTGCACACTCAAGTATGTTAGGGAAAGGAAGCAGTGGGGCTACTGTTCTAGCTGTTGAGCTCCTGACTCACCACCTGTCTTTGACAAATACATGTTTTTTATGTATGTATGTATCCATGTATTAGAAATTTTTGCTTAGGGCACATGCACTCCGGAGAGAAAGAGAGAGACAGACACAGTGAAAGGCAAAGTGAGAAGTCACCAACAAGAGGGATGACCGTGCTGCAATCCCTTCTCCTTCATTCTCCTCCCGGGATCTCGGGCACACATGCACATGTGCCTGGTGTGATTTTTGAACCACTGGGTCTGGGACTTTAACTGTGGTTGGCCATGTGGGAATCCAGTAACATAACTGCTGTGCCATGTGTTGGTCCCATTATTTTAAAATTTTACCAGAAGGCATGTGTGCTTGCCAGAGAGAGAAAATGGAAAGCACCCCTCCTCTCCATAGGATGGCCATGTTGCAATCCCTTCTCTATTTTTTCCTCCTCTTGGGATTTTAGGCACACACACATGCAGACACCTTGTTCTTTTTTTCTCTCTTTTTTTTGGAGAGATTTTTGCTATAGGGCATGTGCGCTTGCTTGAGAGAAAGAGAGTGAGAAATCACCTGCCAGAGGGGTTTGCCATGCCTCAATCCCTTCTCCAGTGTCCTCTTGGGATTTGGGGCATGCACACACACGTGCCCAGTGTTAGTTTTAAGCTGCCAAGACTGGGACTCGATCTACAGTCGACTACATGGGAATTCAGCTACATAACCATTATGTCATCTGTTGGTCCCACCCTGTGTGTTTTTCAAGCCACCAGTTCCAGGACTTGAATCACAAAGTTAGCCATGAGCAATCCAGCCGCCTTAACCACTGTGCTACAGGCTGGCCCCAACAGATAGGTTTTGTGCAATCTGTCTCCAGCACTTAGGGTGGTGACTGGCATGTAACGACAAATGATGGGAATGATCATGGTGATTACAACTACACTTAAACAGTGCCTACCGTGTGCTACTTACTGGTCTAAATGTTTTAAGTATATTAACTTACTTGTTCTTCACACCAGTCATATAAGGTAGATAGAACTCTTTTTTTTTGGAGAGATTTTCGCTATAGGGCGCGTGCGCTCACCAGACAGACAAAGAAAGACATAGAGACAGACAGCGAGAAATCACTCCCCGGGGGGATGGTCACGCCGAAATCCCTTCTCCTCCATTCTCCTCGCGGGATCTTGGGCATACACGCACATACGCCCGGCGTGAGTTTTAAGCCACCGGGTCCAGGATGTGACCCGCAGTCAACTACGTGGGAGTCCAGCCATTACGCTAACTGCTGGTTCCCGGTAGATAGAACTGTTATGTGTGGATGTGAGATTGTACATTGCGCAAGGATCCCACATCTACAAAAAGAGTATTCGCAACCCAGGCATTGCAGATGTGCAGATTTGTCAGTTTCCAGCAGGTGGCAGTAAAGTATCTTGTGCTAATAAAATGAACATTAAGAAATGTTTTAGGGAGGGGGGTGTTTTTCTAACTTTCAAACAGGCACAGTCAGCCCTTAAAATAGGGGTTATTGGGACCAGCGAATGGCATAATGGTTATGTCACTGGACTCCCACGTAGTCAATCGTGGTTCGAGTCCCGGACCTGGAGGCCTAAACTCACGCATGCTGGCGCCTGTGTGTGTGCTCAAAAGCCTGAGAGGAGAATGGAAGAGAGGGGATTGTGGTGTGGCCATAACAACCCAGGGAGGGTGGGTAAGGGCACTTGCCCTACAGTGAAAATCTCTCTGTGAGGGAAAAAGATAGGAATTATTCAGGCCAGTAGATGGCATGGAGATTAAGGCAATTAGATTCCACAACTACATTTTTTTTTTTAAGAATTATTTTATTGGGACCAGCAGGTGGCATGGTGGTTAATGCACTGGGCCCACCCATGTGGCCAACCATGGTTCGAGTCCCGGACCTGGTGGTTTGCTTTCTCACTTTCTCTCTCTCTCTCTGTGTCTCTCTCTAGTCAAATTAAAATAAATTAATGAATAAAAAATTAAATTAAATGATTCTTTAAAAATAATTATTTTATTTAACTTATTTATTATTGTTATTATTTTCCAGCTTGATCAGAGAGAGAGAGGGGAAGTGAGAAAGCAAGCCATCAGATCCAGGACTTGAACCCTGGTTGGCCATGTGCAAATCCAGAGCCTTAACCACCAAGCCACCTGCCTGGCCCCACAACTACATACTTTGAGTCCCGGGCCCTGCTGCTTGAAAATCACACCAGGCGCGCACACGTGTGCGTGCATGTGTGTGTGTGTGTGTGTGTGTGTGTGTGAGTGTGTGCCTAAAATCCTGA